GCCCCACAGTACACTACAACATCTTGTTGGGAGGTCCTGACCGCTTACATACATGTATCCCCTTGTGGTCGCATCACAATTCCCTGGCCGCATAATGTGTCCTCGATGACCGCAGAAAGGTGCCCTGATCGCAAACTGGTCCCTTCACTTGATGTTTTAGAATGATCATCCTTCTTGGCAATATAGCCGAGAATGCTCTAGACCATTATACATCTATTGGCCAGAAGATCTGCAAGTTTACAGGCCAACATTTTTAAAGTTATCTCTTCGTTTGGCTTTTAGAGCAAATTGAGTGAGAAATGGCCGCAAATAGTGCTTTTACTCTTGGCCTATAAGTGCTGAACATGAAATGTGTCACATATTTACTACTACCCATGCCGGCTTGCACTTACTTTAAGCACGGTCAAAAAGCATAAAAGCCTGCTTAACGCCGAGGCGTGCTTGAGTGCGAAGTAGACAGTGTGACAATTGTCATAATCCAGAGATTTTTATGTAGAACAATTCCTGAGTTATTTCCCTTCGTACGTAAGTCGTGGTCGCGCTGAAGTGTGCGCTGCACAGAGTTACCCCCTATAATGTACATCTATGGTGCGCTGTCATTTTACCATGCTAGTTTTTGTTTGTTTTGTTTTGTGATCGAATGGGAAAGGAAAACTTAATTATTAAGACGGCCAGTCACGATACAGCACATTGGGCCTACACACACACACTGCCTGTGCGTACCACTGCCCGCTGTGCCACATTCATTCCACCGCCTTTATCCCACCTCGCGCGTGCTACAGATACATAATCGGGATTGACGGACAGCGTGAGCGAGTGGCAAAGTATCACAAAGGTGAAATCGCAGCCAGCCTCCCTTTCTCGTCTCCTCTACTCTCTTTGTATTATTTTCGTCTGTCTGCTGTGTGTAGCTTTGCCCTAGGCTAGATCCTATGGTCCACGAGCGCCGCTGTGTGCATCTCTCTGCCTTCCTGTCTGCGCATAGTGTGTGTGTGTTTGTATTCATTATCATTATCATATATGTGTGTGTGTGTGTGTGTTTGTATTCATTATCATATATATATAAATATATATATATATAAATATATATGTGTGTGTGTGTGTGTGTATGTGTGTGTGTGTGTGTGTGTGCGTGTGTGTGTATGTGTGTGTGTGTGTATGTGTGTCTCCATCACTTGCGTTCTTTGCGTTTTTCTTACCCCACTCACTGCTGCGGTGTAGACTGTTCAAAGGTCGATGGGTCATCATGTAAATGTAAGTATAGACTGTCTTGTCAATGAAGCGTGCCTGAAGGCATGTCATGTAATACACTATAGCCTATTAGCCTCTATATACCAACATTGGGTAAGAAGAGCTGTTTTGTCCGAAACTAGTTTTACGTCGGTGTGTTAAAGCCAGCACGGACTGTACTAGAGAGTCAAGGCCTGGTTACACGTAACGATAAATTGTGCAAAATTTGGACGATCTAGCGATCATCATACAATAAAACGTTAGGTGTAACCACAGAATTTTACATATACAACATTTGGACGATTGAACGATGGTTTGGAGACTCGGTCGAGAAATCAAGCGCTGCTTGATATTTTCCGTGCGATGACGTCACACTTGAGGGAGACGCGCTGTGACGTAGATTTACTTTGAAATTTGCCGCAGCGCAGAACTAAACTCAGGGCTCAACTTTTTAAAAATAATTACCGTACGTCAAAACCGATTTCATATTCGGAATCAGGACCCACAAAGTTGCTCGCAGAGAACCTGATTTGGTGCGTTATTATTTATTTTTGCAATTTTATTATTTAGTTGATCGTCAATTGTGCAGCTGTGCATCAAGGTCACTCAGTGCGTTACACATCTGCAGTCAAGTCAAAGCTTCCGGTTCTACACACAACACGGTAGGCCTACAGTATGGCCACCCTTTTCTAAAGACGCTCTTCTGCTGGATATCAAAATGTACAGGGGAGGGGGGGGGCTTCTGTGATCTAGAGGCAGTGTTCGCCTTTCATTCATGAGCTCCAGAGTTCGAAACCTTCACATAAAGAGCAGACAAATCGCTGTCGTCGCAAAGAGACATGGTGGCTTTATGACGAGGAATCTCCTCAATCGAAAGAAAACTGGACGATAGATCGGAACGTGTAAACAGACAACACCGTTCATTAAAACAGACAGTTTTCTCATACGACGAATCTGATACAATTTATCGCTGCGTGTAACCGGGGCTTGACATGCAAAGAAAAGGAGGAGAGATAAGGACGACAGATGTTTGATAGGAAAAGTCAACCACACCAAAGCACCCACCAACCACCCACTTACATTCACTAACAACTAGAAAGACTTCCCACAAGAAGGAAAAGAGAAAAAAACAAAAGAAAACAAAAAAACCATAACCCTGTTAGTGTTACTCTCACATTCCTTTATTGACAGAGTCATGACCGTACATACTACTACTCTCACATGAGCACAGAACATGTCCTTTATTGACAGAGTCAGTCATGACCGTACATACTTTCACATGAGCACAGAACATGTCCTTTATTGACAGTCAGTCATGACCGTACATACTCTCACATGAGCACAGAACATTCCTTTATTGACAGAGTCATGACCGTACATACTCTCTCCAGCATCAAAGAGAACTTATACAAAACATTGATAATATAAATATAAACATATGTGTCTCAAGCGGTGGTCAAAGAAGAGCCCAGGGAAAGAAAACATTGCTATAATTTACGATCCGTGTCTCAAGCGGTGGTCAAGGAAGCAAAATGTGATGTAGTTGGCCGCCCAGCTGCCATGTCCACTGACATCCTGCATACACCCATTTCCAACAAAAGATCAACCTCCAGAATAGGGTACTGCATACCATACAGTAGTGCCAAAGATTACAGGTCTTACAAGGACAGAGTAACAAACACAAAAAGGAGAAGAGATAAGGACGATACATGTTTGATTACTAGTTTGATAGGAAAGAAAGACCAAATCACATAGATCTATTAGAGTCTAGAGCACTCGCCACCAACGTAAATTGTACCTTAAAGTTTAAGTAACGCTGTCCATAAAAACAAAACTTCGCTCTGAGACCAGGTTTTGTCAGTTAAAATAAAGCATGAAATCCATAAATGCTTCTCCAATCCGGAATGGAGTTTAAGTCTCCAGCATGTGGCTGTGAAGTATCTAACTGCTTGACCATACACACTGGTTTGTCCACTTCTGCAAAACATGGACAAAATACTTCAAAACTAAATACCCCCACATACACAGTGCATGCATATTATATATATATATATATATAATATATACATGTAAATATATATACACATGCATATGAGCCTTTGCCAATAGGTGGGATTTTCTTCATATAGCTTACAAAATCCTTTCGTATTCCAATAAAAATGGTGCTACAGCTTTGAAAATTGTATATATACTTTTATGTTCCGTAAATGACTTTTCAGGGTATTTTTTTATTTTGTGTCATCATGGTTATGTTCAAAAGATATGAGACATTTTGCAGAGATTCATCGTAAAATGTGAATAGTGACATTCTTTCATCTTTAACATGTTTTGTGAGTCAAACTGAATCTTCTGAATCGTTGTTTGCCCAAATTGTCATAAAAGAAATTAAGATATATGAAAACAAAAAGTATTTCCTTTCTTTCATACACAACTATGATGACCCAAATGTCAACACAACGGCATTCAGAATTTCTTGTTTCTCTGATCCTCACCATTGTATAGACTGGTCATGCTTATGTTGGACAATTAAAGCAATTCAAGAAAACTGTTCAAATAATTTTGTACGAGTAGGCCTACTAATTTTTCAAAAAATGTGTAATCATAGTTAAGTCCCAAAAAATTTGACTTGACTTTACGTTAACACCAGTGACACAGCTTAGCATGCCGTCTATAGGTCTGTAAATACATGGTTTTGTAGGTAGGAGATATACATGAATTGAAAAATTCAAGTAAAAACTTAATATTAAAAACTTTATCATCACAACCCTCTGTGCTACATTTTAGGTCCCCACCTATAGGCAAAAGCTCATGTAGATCTCTATATCTCTAAGTTTCAACACAGACACATGTAATCTATCAGTTCATTTACTTCGTGAAGACATCACACTGACTGACTAACCCATTAAATGCAAGGAAAAAGCAAGAAAACTTTGGACAAAGTGCCAGGAGAATGAACCAAGTCTCCAACAAACGACCCACGAGGACAGAGAGAAGCAGGGTGTGTGACAAAACGGAAGCAGTGTAGTTTACCCAGGCTACGTCAAAGGACAGAGACAAGCACGGTGTGTCACAAAGCCGTGTAGTTTACCCAGGCTAGGTCAAAGGACAGAGACAAGCACGGTGTGTCACAAAGCCGTGTAGTTTACCCAGGCTAGGTCAAAGGACAGAGACAAGCACGGTGTGTCACAAAACGGAAGCCGTGTAGTTTACCCAGGCTAGGTCAAAGGACAGAGATAAGCACGGTGTGTCACAAAGCGGTGTAGTTTACGCAGGCTAGGTCAAAGGACAGGAAGAAACAGCCCACAAAAATGTACATCAAATACCGCAGGCAGGAGGGCAAGGTGTAAATAGCCTACTGTCATAGGGAGCAAAACTGATGCATTAGAACAACAGAACAACTGCAATAAAAAAAATAATTTAAAAAAAATTATTATTATAAACAGCATTTGTATAGCACTTGACAATTTCTATTGTTACCCCAGCAGACCCTGAGACACTCAAAAACATTCTCCACTTCCTAGGAAGCATACAGCACAGCAGCCAATTAAGTGCTCAAACACTAACAACCTGACAAGAACTTTTGCTGTCTATAGCATAGCTGGGTACCCATTCCCACCTGGGTTAAGAGAGGAAACTTTCTGTAAAGTGCCTTTCCCAGACCAGACCATCAATGATTTATTCATAGAGGCACCAGCCATCTATGTCCAGGTGCTGTTTTAGCCTCTTTTAAGTGCCTTTCCCAAGGACACAACGTTGACCCCCTAATGGGGTTTGAACCCATGACCATCTGGCTGCACTCCCAACAGCCTTACCACAAGACAAGTCAATGCCACAGGCGGGTACAGCTACTGAGGTGTAACTGCACAAGACTATCTCAAGGCCCAAGTCACAGCTAGAACTGATGGTCCTCCACTGAGGTATAACTGTACAAGGCTTTACGTTCCAAGAGCTGTGGAGACCACAGACAGAATCCTGCTGGACATAGAAGCTCTGTCAGTCGTCGTAGCGTTTTTTCTTGATCACTCGCCCGCTGCTGCTCCGAGTGACTTCTGGCACAGACGAGTTCTTCACAGGGGTAACCGCTGGAGCGTGGGCAGCCTCTTTCTGAGCCCTGCTGCCTCCCCTAGCCTGAACGTAGGCCGTCTTTGCCGACTTTTTGCGAGCAGAGTCAGGGCCGGACTGGTGGGATTCGGACACCGCTGAAGGCGTCGGGGTTTCAGCCGAGTGAGAGATCTGTGTGATCAGGACAATATCAGCCTTCCTAGACTGGCTAGAAGAATTAGAAGACAGAGGGCTATGGGCCGCGTCTGTTTGTCCCGCTGCAGCCTCCTGACCACTTTCTCTTTGCCTAGCAGAAGTCAGCGGAGCAACTCGCTTTGGAGGCGTTTGCTTATTGGTCCGTCGCCGTTTGGGAGACGTTTGCTGATCTGTCCGTCGTCGTTTGGGAGACGCTGGTGCTGACGGTTGCTGTGCTGAGGACGGCTGATTGGTTTGTTTTTGTTGGCTGGACGCAGGAGTGTCAGCCTGATTTTGTTGGTTGGACGCAGGAGTGTCAGCCTGATTTTGTTGGCTGGACGCAGGAGTGTCAGTCTGTTTTTCTGCAGCCAGTTGACGAGTTCTGTGGTGTTGTTTTGTTGTAGACAGTGGACCAGCGTGTCTTCCTGAGACTGTCTCATCAGTTTGTGTTCTAGAAGGTGTGAGCACGCTCTGAGACAGGGAGGGCTGTAGTTCCTCACTGTCTTTCCCATGTTCCCCTCGGCTCGACCTCCGTCGTCTTGTTGACACACCAGCCCGCGGTGACCCTGCCTCGTGGGAATTCTTCCTCGGCGAGTCACCAGTCTTTTGCGTTGTGTTTGTCGATTTCCCCTCAGCGGGCTCTCTCTTCCTAGACAACACTTCAGTCCCAGAATTTGCATCCTCAGAAATGACAGGACAACTATCCTCACTAATTAATTCTGGATTCAGCTCTCCACTCATCCGAACAACTGTTGTTTCCAAGTCGCTTTTTCCAGCAGCGACCTGAATCAGATCTTTGACCGAGTCGTTCAAGGTCACCAGAGTCCCTGAATAGCCTGGCTCGTAATCTGAAAGCACTTCTTTCTTCACCATCACTTTAGCGCTGCTGCCATCATTCCATGACTGCTTATCTTTATCGTAAAGAATAATCTCCGACTTCTTCGACATCTCATGAACCACAATCTTACCGTGCTTGCCGGGGGGAAGGGGAGGTAACGACTGAGCCCCGATGGCTAGCGTTGATGTTGACTCAGACTCTTTTGCCGTTTCGGAGCCGACCGTGGGCGAGAAGGGAAGCGTAGAAATGGTTCTCCGGGGAGGACTGTTGAAAACTGTGACCTTGTTTTCTGAGGAAGAAGCTTCTGCAGCGTTCGTCTCCTCGTGTGTCATTGTCTGTGAGTTGGAGTGTTGTGGCGTTGTGAGTCGGAGGTAGGTGCTGCCCCCACACACGTCCTCTTCCTTGATCTTCAAGGTCTTCACCTTGTCTGTGGCTGTCACCACGTGGTAGGACATGAGCTGACCGTCCGACCGGTAAATCTGGAGATTCTCCAGATCCCCGACCTCCAAACTTATAAAGGTCACATCGTCTGTATCTTTGCTCACTCGCAAGGCCGGCTTCTCAATCAGACGAGAGGCAGCGCCTTTCTTGGGTTTGACCTTGGGGACATATGACGGATTGTGAATGGAGGGAGGGGCGGGCTTGGTGAGGATGGGGATGCTGGCTTCCCCACGGATCTTCATCTCCCACTTGTGGAAAAACTTCATGTGGCGGTTCACCGAGCTCATCTGGTAGAATTCTTTGTGGCATATGGAGCAGACGCAGAGCTCCTTGACCCCGTGGAACTTGAGGATGTGTTTGCCGATCTGCTGCGTGTTCTTCATCACGTACAGACAGGTGTCGCAGCGGTGCAGCCCCACCCCCTCCACCTCCTCGTCCGTGTGCTGGGTCATGTGATCGTCCAGCTGGAGGCGTGAGTCAAAGCCGTTGTGGCACATGGCGCAGGCGTACGGCTTCTTCATGGGGTCGTCCACACACTTGTCCTTGTCGTCGTAGATGACCACCTTGATGTGGTCCAGGTCCTCCCCCTTGATCGAGCCGCCCTCCCCTGAGACCAGCTCCACCACCTGCTCCACCCCGTCAAGGTCGCCCTTGCCTCGTTTGGTCAGCAGGTGCTCCCTCTCTGCGCCCGTGTCCTCCTCCACAAAGATGTAGGAGATGTCGGACTGGCCCAGCGTGGTGTTGTGAACGGCCTTCAGATGTTTCCTCAGGTTGCTGATCCCCCGGAAGGGCACGCCACACGTGCCACACTGCAGCTTGGAGTTCTCCAGCTCTGAGCCCATGCTCGACCTCATCTTGTCCGTCACTGGCACAGGCTGGCTCTTCCCCGGCCCGCTACAGTTGGTCCCGTCCTGTATTGGCTCCACGCCGCTCACCTCCACGCTGATAATGGGCTGACCTTGACCTTTCTTTATCTGATCTTTCTCACTAGCGACCGAGGTGACGCTGTGATCAAAGCCCGCGGTGGCGTGCAGTTTGTCCAGAGCGGAGGTGTTGGAATCTTCCGATGGTTCTTCTAGGTCCGCCTCCTCACACACGGCCCCGGGTGGGGGGTCAGCACAGACCTCGGACTTGAGGAGCTCGGCCACGCCTCGTTCTACCTCGCTCCTCTCCACCTCCCCGCCGCACTCCGTCTGCTCCACAAGGCTCGCCACTGCTGTCGTCTCCACCACTTCCTCCTGCTGCCCCACCACTGTCACTCCCTCCTCCTCTTCCTCCTCCTCCTCGGCAGAGGCTTTCTCCTTCTTCTTCCCTCGTTTCTTCCTGCGTGGGTGGCGAGGCTCCACCTTCCTGCGGGTCTTGAGCAGCTGGGGTCCCTTCACGCTCAGCTCGTAACTGTCGTCTGACCACACGGCCGAGTGGATGTCCCACGACGGGTCAACGCTCTCGCAAAACTTCACCTGGGGCAGACAACAGACAAGATGTCAACGTTTTAACTTTGACAGAGAACAGACAAGACAACAGTCAACGTTACAACTGTCAACACTCTCACACTGGGGCAGAGAACAGCCAAGACAACTGTCAACGTTACAACTGTCAACACTCTCACACTGGGGCAGAGAACAGCCAAGACAACTGTCAACGTTACAACTGTCAACACTCTCACACTGGGGCAGAGAACAGCCAAGACAACTGTCAACGTTACAACTGTCAACGTTACAACTGTCAACGTTACAACTGTCAACGTTACAACTGTCAAGGCTCTCACACTGGGACAGAGAACAGACAAGACATATGTCAACGTTACAACTGTCAACGTTACAACTGTCAACGTTACAACAGTCAACGTTACAACTGTCAACGCTCTCACACTGGGACAGAGAACAGACAAGACATATGTCAACGTTACAACTGTCAACGTTACAACTGTCAACGTTACAACAGTCAACGTTACAACTGTCAACGCTCTCACACTGGGACAGAGAACAGACACGACATATGTCAACGTTACAACAGTCAACGTTACAACAGTCAACGTTACAACAGTCAACGTTACAACTGTCAAGGCTCTCACAACACTTCACCTGGACAAAGAACGGCAAAACTTAACCTGGGCAAAATAAACCAAAGCAAATATACATTTGTC